ATCGAATTAAGTTATATTCCACATATTTATTAATAATTACAATAAGTGTGTAAAAATGCACTTAACACATGTCGCCCTTTTGCTTTGCACACGACCATATGTTTTTATGTTAATGGCAAATCTGCATACGTGGGACTTTAAGAAGTAAACACGCGTTAATAAAAATAAGAAGAGGAGCAGTATTTTATAGGGTTGATTACAGTTTTGGCAACTAAATGATGATTGCTTGAAATATGCTCGATGATGTAAATGGCGGTGACAGCATATGAACTTGGGAAATATTGAGTAGGTTTTTTGAGCGCTGTTTGCCAACATTTGATATTTTCCTCACTGTATTTGGTCATGTGATCGGCAAATATGTTTTTTTTACTGTTCTCATTGCCTTTACTCCAAGGGGTTGAGATGTCATTACCAAGAACCCAGTTCTACGTGGAGATCAGCTTCCACAGAAGTTCCTGTATCCCAAGACCAAGAAAAAGAACAAGCAGGTGAACTGCATTTTTTTTTTTCATCTTTCCTCTACTCTGACTATTTTTTTCTTCATCTGACAAGTTTATTAACCCTTTGTTTCTTACACAATGTGCAATGTAGGGAGACGGCGTTTTTGCTCCTGAATCTGTTTCTTTACGGTTTGTGAGCCTTCAAAGTTTTATGATTTTGGAGTGTGTGTTACTTCCCCCTTTTTTATGGTGAAAAAATTTGCGGAACATTTATGTGGACGAATTTTGTACTGTTTGATACATTAGACCGGAATATGTTGTACCAACAAATTGTCAAGTTGCTCCTAGATTCCTTCTTAAGATTGATTTAAGGAAGGCATATGATTCGGTCAATTAGGACTTTCTTAGATCCGTTCTTGAAGGGTTTAGGATTCCCTAGAACATTCATTGATTGGGTGATGGAATGCGCTATTGCACCACTAAACGGTGGCTTGCATGGGTTCATTAAAGGCAAAAATGGCCTATTTCTCCTTTTTTGTTTGTATTATTCCTTGAATATTTTTCAAGTTAAGGGAACAACTGAGAATAGTGATTTCAACTATCATCCAAAATGTGGCCCATAAAGATTACGCACCTTGGAATTCTCGGATGACTTGATGCTTTATGCTAAAGGAGACGTAAATTCGGTGCGCATCTTGATGGTTGTCTATCTGATTTTGGGGATACTTCGGAACTAAAGATGAATACTACCAAATCTAGCCTATGTACAGTCGGAAGTCATGGGCAAGAGTTGGAAGACATCCATGAGTTTACGAATATACCGAGAGGTTCAATGCCATTTTGTCACTTGCAGTCGAAAAATTCAAAGTCAGCTCTTATGCTTCATTTATAGACAATATTTTAGCATATATCTGTTCATGGACAAGCTCATAACTGTCCTATGCAGGGAGAGCCGAACTTGTGAGATCCGTACTTTAAGGTGTTGAATATGTTTGGTTGTCTATCTTTTCGGTCCTGGCTACAGTTTCTTTGAGAATTATTACACTTTGCCGAAACTTCCTTTGGGGATCTAAAAAGTCTGTAGCATGGACGAATGTTTGCCTTCTGAAAAATGAAGGAAGCCTAGGATTTAGAGACATCAAATGCTGGAATTCTGCCTTGCTTGCTAAATCACTTTGGAACATCCATAATAAGGGGGTGTTTGGTAGCAATTCTCATTTTCAA